CTTACTACTAGTAACAAGAAGCTACTAGGAACAAGTGCATCGCTACTTATCCTTTCCAGCGAGCTCGTCGATCATGTCGATAGCTCGTCTCCTCGGTCCATATCATTGAGGGACGTTGTGGGAAACAACTGGAAACAAAGGATCCATGTGTTCAGTTTGGCTTTGGACCTCAAATGATGAATGCATGGCAGTGCATGGTGCCAAACTGTTGGGAGGGACATGGACCAGGCTGACAAAAAGACCTATGCAACCGCATGAAACTCACTTGGAGTCGGAAATGGACCCCAGACTCTGGCAGGACCGGACGTTCATCCGAGCATTTTCCGAGCACTCACACCGTCGCACAGGCTTTGAGCCTCCAACGTGCCAAAGTGGAAGTCCCTGGGACCGAGAGAGTTCCACCGAAGGGTGTCGGCGTCGGCCTCCTCACCGATTCACGAGGCCGAAAAGGCCAGGGGTGACTTTGGAGCTGCTTTTTGTTCTTTAGCACCTAAAAGATCCATTTGAGATTTTCAGGTGAATTGTATAGTGATCATATACAACGGCCGCATCATCAGCCATCGCCCGACAGTTGTGGGTGCACCCTCGAGTGGTGAGCGGCTTTGGTTCCGTTAGCGGCTTTGGCCTTCAAGGAAGGGTGATGTGGAACACTCCCAATTGGGTTTCGGACTGTAGCGGGTTTGTGAGGCTGGAGACGCCACTGAGATACTTACAATGGGGACTCAACCTGCACCGACTGTGACCGTTTTCAGACTGGCGATTCCAAGGCTGAATGACTGAGCCAGTTTCAGCCACTGATTCATTTTGCAAGACTTTTGGGTTCGTCACTTTCGTCCGAAAGAGGCCGCTACCAGTCACTTCCGATGTTCAACGCTTGCCAAGGAAGAGGAGGCTTTGCTGCAGAGCTTCAGAGATGCTCAAGCGGCGCACGAAGCGTTTGTAGAAGCCACGAAGGAGGACCCATGGGGATGTGGAGGGACCGTGGTTCCAGGGAGAAGAGGTGTTGATGTCAGCTTTGCATTCAACTAAGTGGCAACTGGCGTGTTCCCTTCAGATCGCCATGCTAGGCTCTGGGCAAATTGAAATACATCAACATAGAATCTATAGGAGCTTTGCTATTTTTATGCTCTCTCTCTCTCTCTCGCTTGCTCTCAACCTCTTAGGAGTTTGTTGGGGTGCCACCAGCCAAAGCAGGGGTTATGCTGGACTCTCCAGGCGTTTGTGATTCAGGGAGCATCTGGAAGATCTGATTGAGACCTTTTTTCAATGTCGGAGGTAGATGTGAAAAGTGACAACATTGTGCTGCAGCCAAAAAGATGGACGCAATTGTCTGAGGGTGGATCTCACTTGCGCCCCATGTGGAATTTCACTGAATGCCCTTACTGAAGCCTTTCTCAGCAGGACGAGTGAGAAGAAGCAAAGCTTGGGCTTTCTCTAAGACGGAACCTGTGATATTTCCTTCTCTCTGCTATCTCCTCCATCAGTGATTAGATAACAGGTCAAGCCCACAACAGAGAAGCAAAGAAAGGCTCCCTGACACCCAACACCCAAGCGACTCCAAGCAACTCTCTGACTGGAAGCCCTAGAAGTCTAGTTCCACCATGTTCCACCATATTTTTTGGAGGACTACCGAAGCAAATATTCCGGAAATTCCTAGACTTGGGTCACCGAGTCAGACCATCTTTAAACATCGTCTGGACTCCCATGAATGAGTCGATCCACCGGAGGACTGGCAGCTGCAGCGTGGCTCGTGGCGCGAGTTGAAGCAGCAAGAACAGCAGCTCCGGCTGGCCTCCCGTGAGGCGGCCAGCGAACGGGGGAGAGAGCTCGCTCCGCTCCATGGTTTTTAGCGTGCGAACGCTGAACGCCCGCACCGGTCATATAGAATTTTTGACGATATTTCAAGCCCCCCAGACATGGATTGTAAAACCTCTTCCGGGTTTGGAGGATCTTGGGGGTTGAAATATCATCAGTCTACCTGAGGGGTTGGCCCGGTGGCTCAAACCATGAGATCAATGGTGAAACTGCCAGTGAACTTGTGCCTTTGATCTTGAGCTTGTGAGCCATTAGATAGTCAGGCAAAGATGGCTTACATGCTGGGGATGTGAACATCGCTACCATTAGGGGTAAGATGTTTCATGTTTTGGCTTCAATACAGTCAATCTTTACATATCTTTACATCAATATATATAAGCTCCAACAGTCAGTTGATCAGAAAATGATTCGAACATATCCACCACCTGTGCCTTTCCCTTCCCCATGGAGAAGTTCTCTTCTTTGTCGACGCAAGAGGGTGCCCTTCCGCAAGAGACAGAAACCCAAAGGATGTTTATCGTGTATATGATCGGAATCATCACCCGTTTGCTACGATATGGGAATAGCACAAGCAGATCACAAGGGTCTTCATGTTCAACACAGTTAGAACATGTTAAACCATATGCTAAAACTGCTCAGACCGCGTTCCACTTTTTATTATGTGGGTCATTGTGGGTCTGTCCAAATTCTGTGACAGGCCGCGAAATTCGCGTTTTGATGTGTTGGAGGCTCCAGCCTTTAGACCAACCTTTCTCAAATGAAGATTATGTAAGTTGGAAGCGATTGGAAGCGGATGGATTTGAGCCAGGGTCGATAAAACTCACTTTTGTCATTCTAATATCTTGTTCAAACATATTCAAATCACCATCACCAAAGCTGTCCGCTCCACCTTGGCTCGGCTCCGCACCGCGCGAGGCCTTCAGCCGTTGCAAGGAGCTGTTGCTCCGTGGGCGGACCTCGTTGCGGCCGGAGCTGCTCCGTGCGCCCCTGACGCGCCGAGCTTAGCTGGAGCGACTGAGGCGACCGGGTCCATCGTTGAGTGGGAACCCACCTTTGACGAGAGTGACGCAAAAAGTATGTGTTAACAGGGGAACTGAGTTCGGGAACATCATGGACCATCCCATTTCAATTACATCATTTTAACTCATAGACTTATAGTCTTTCGACTTCTGCTTGTAGCAACCTATACATGCAAGTGTTGTTTTCTGTTGACCAGGGTCATTGTTCCAGCCACCCCAAAGCGTGAGTGAAATAGAGCCTTTGGTTGTGGGTACCAAGTGCGGCAGCCTCTTTTGCCACGCGATCTCATGCAGAGCGCTGGAACGAGCGTTCCAGGTCCGACAGGCCTTGCTCGAAGTCCTGGCTCTAGAATGTAGACTGTTGATGAATCAAGCCGCCCAGGACAGGAGATGTAAAACCATTCTGCTAATACTGTAAGTTTGTTGTTGTTGTTGTTGCTTCTGAATGTCACTGGATTCTTCCACCTGGAAACCCAAACAACCAGAAACAAATGGTTGTTCCCATGTGGCAGTTGAGATCCTTTACACAGGAAGCGGCCGTTTGGGGAAACGTGCTTGTTTGTTTCTGGTTGTTGGGATTTCCATGCACTTCAAAGGACTTTGACGATGACAAGGCATCCCTCGCCTGTCATATACTGTCATATTTTGGAACGATTTGCCAGCGCGGTGCTTGGATGGTCCATGAAAACTGACACTGGACCGTGGAACCTGTTTTATCCTGTTTGATCAGTTCGATCGAACGTTGATTTGGCATGCTTTTGGCCAGACAGCTTGACAGTCATTTCATTGGCCCAGGCTGCATGATCTTTGCTGGGACGCCACCAACATGAGCGGTGTGGAACTTCCCGTCCGAACTCCCTTTGGAAATTCGATCGCACGACTCCGGAACAATGGTGACCACTCGATCGAGGGAGACTCGCTCCGCCCCGACCTAGTCTTCGCAGTGACCTTTTTCGAGACTCCAAGTCTCGTGCCATCACTGAGGCCTGACGGACTGCCAGAGACGCATGCCGCACTCGCAGGCGGTGGAGGACCAGAGGAAGCTCTTCGCAGATTGCTGGGAGAGGCTGCAGGTGCCAACAGGGCGAGCTTGCTTCGTGTAGGGAGAGCTTGTTTATGCTTTTTCAAAACTTGTTGCACGAGCTGACGGGTTTCAACACGGACCGTTGGTGATGGAAAGTGCGCGATGTCAGGTGCGTTTCAGGACGAAAGCCTTTGGAGCAAGGAGGGTCCTGGCAGGCACTTTGGATGGAAGTACCGTAGTCCGTGGCATTCAAAGAGCGGTGATTTGGAGTACACGCAAGGTGTGAGATGCAAAGCTTCCGACATGAGGTTGATCTGTACTGTAGCTGTCAATATTTCTGTGGGTCAAAACCAGGAGACCTTGGTTGACCGGTTGACTCCTTGGAAGGTCAAGCTACATTGTGTTGGGGCCCCAGGTTTTGAACCGACCGATTCCATCCCCATATTTGTGTACGAATGGAACCTATACTACAGTAATTCAAACCTTATTCGCCTGTTCTTATTCACAATCCAAACATAGACTCTTGGCGGCAGACGACCGCCAAGCCAGGTCAGCTTGTTCACAGAAGCACAGAAACCAGATCAGCTCTGCAAGCACCCCTTTTGCCAAACAAGCAAGTTCCACAGCAAACCCAGAGACTGCGACGGATGCAGCTCCAAAGAAGTGCATCGACGGTGTTCTCCACACCTCGCATTGCGCCGCGTTGCATCGCGTTGCATCTGGCAATGTGTCAGGCTACTGGAGCAGAGCAAACGGATGGCGGCTCTCGACGCCTTGCCGGCACGTGCTAAGGAACTGGCCCAGCGAGGCACAGGGAACACATGGGAAGCAAAGCCTTTCAAAGAAAACACACAAATTCCAGTATAAGCACATATCCTCATATACATATATATATATATAATGTAAATATAAATATATATATATAATGTATATATATAGAGTTACTATAGTTATATATATATATATATGTATATGCATTCAGTTGTTTCTTTGTTTTTTCTCCGCAACTCCCTGATCCATTCTTGAAAAGCTATTCATCGGGCACTCTGTGACATTCTGCAGAAATCCGTTTTGGTTGGAATACTATTCAGATCTCTTTGAGAGCCTGTTCCAGTTTCTTCAGTCACCAAACTCTCTTGGAAGCATTTGGCGCTCTTGGGCTTCGACTGGCCGATGATCTGCATCATGTGTTCATGTCCTTAGCTATGAGGGGTTTGTTTGGGATCGTCACGCCTGATCTTGGGGTGCTTCGGGGTGTTTCGCATCAGTGAACTCTCCAAAGAGCGGCTTTGTGATGGGGCGGAGATTCGGAGATGCGAATGCAAGTATGCTAGAGCGGGTAAGGTTCCTAAGGACATAGATCTGATGTGAGAACTTGCTTTCCCGAGCTAGGACACCTCCTAGGGATGCAAATGCCTTCGAGGCATCAGATTTTTCTGCGACGGGAGGACCTGGCACACTGGGCTCCTTGCTTTGTGCTATCGCAGAAGAGACCTTTTTGGCGGCGAAGGGTTGCGAGCATGTGCTGGTCATCGGCGGACATGGTGAGCCTGGCCTGTGGGGTTGGGATTTTGGGGCGTGCAAGGTCATCCCGATATATCCCGATGTTACTCTCTATCCAACAAAATGCCTAAGCAACAGGAAACAAGGGGCATTTCCTGGAGGGAGAGAAAATCAAACAGGAGCCGGTTCTTCATTGATGCGGCGATGACCTGGGGACTGAAAGGAGGCGGTTTTATGGCGAGCTCAGAAAGAGTGTCGTTTCCGGTTTTGAAGAATGTGGCAGGTGAACTTTGGAAGGGTGTTTGCTTGCATGGATTCCTGCATGTACTGGTAAGCCAGGGTAGCTGTATGTAGCCTTAGTCAAGCTGTCTAACGATCACAGAAATTGGTTGGTCTCCAACACCAGGAGACTCCCACAAGACCATGGGAAAGGTCAATTGTGTTCAGGTGCTGGTATGCTACCTGTCCTAATGTTGAGATACACCCAAATCCCACCAAAAGCTATATAATTTGATTAATAATTTATTTGATGGACTAGTTTGAAACACCTCGACCTGTCATTGAGACTATGACCCCTTCCACGTCTTGTGTCGTTTCTGGGGGATTCTTCTTCAAAAACAAAACAAGCCCTTGCAGATTGAAGAACTCTTCCTTTGGACCCTCGCAGATTGAGGTATCTCTGCCGTGTCCGCTGCTCGTGCTGGGGCCCGCGCCGTGGTGCTGTGGGAGCCCTTGGAGGATGTGGCGTGCGCGGCTCGCGAGGTCGGGAGGTCAGCCCAACCAGTGTATATACACGATTATACGTGCGTGTATAATTGTAGTTATATATACCCTAGGACTCCATCGTACTTGTACCTTCTGAGAACCTGTTTGAGGTGGGTTTGGAGGGTCCAAATACCTGACGAGGCACTTGCAGCCCTAGGGGTGAGTCGTTCCGAGTGGTTGCGGTTTCAGGCGAGATACGGATGGCACCCTGAAGCTATACTTGAAGCTGTTTTTCTTTCGATAAACTTAATTCTTGCGTGCTTGGAGCAGTTTTTTGACGACTTGTGCGTGCTCTACGCTTGTGCAGTACTTTACTTTTGCATGTGCGAAGCAGGGCCATGGGGAAGAGTGGTCATCGCCATCACATTTATTGAATCTATTGTTCATGCAAATCATTTCATGTTTCCTTGGGTGTCACTTTATCATGGCGACTTTGTTTTGCACCTTTGTTCTGTCTGCTTCAACAAGGATGTTTGTTCATGCTCATCAGTTTCACAACGCTGTCATCGGTTTCAGAACATTGGCATCCGAATTCGCACTAACTCACCCAATTTGTCATCTAATGACCATGATTAAACAGAAGGCATATCAATATAGATTGTCTGTAGCTCTCTACGAACACTTGGCCGGAAGAACGTTCCACAGCAAGGGACAGGTGTATGGGCAGATGTTCACCCAATGCCTTCCAGGTTGTGCCAGGCAAAATTCGCAGTCCGTCACTCCGTCACACTCCATGGCGTCGCCTGCATATTTAGTCCGTCACAGGCAGAATCTCCAAGGCTTCGGCAATGTTCAAGAAAAGACGTCCGTTTTAAGGTCCAAAACGATCCAAAAAAGCAAAGCGCAGCTGTCAGACTGAAGAACTGCAGTCCGCCAAGCTAGCAGTAGTTGTCCAAAAAAACCAAAGGCCTTGTTATCCTTGCTCTAAATATGTGGCGTGCTCAAGGATTGGAGACACAGTGGATCTCCCAAGGAGATCGAGCGATGAAAAACATGTTAGCGGAGAGCACGCGGTCGCTTGCAGTGCGGAACCTCTGTATGTAGCTGTGTTTGCACATGCACACTTGAAGCAACCTCTCTGCGTGAAAACACCAAGATGGTCTGTCGATCCTAAGTCCATCAAGGCAGTTACCGATAGGCCTCTGGATGGCGAAACTGTACTTTTGTGTCCCAGGTGCTGCGGAGAAATCTCAAGCAGGAAGAGGTGCGGAAAGCTGGTGCTAGGGCTAGGATCATCGTTTAGAGTTGGCAGATAACAATCTCTTCCGAAAGGTCAGTTTCAATCACCAGTCACACGGCGTCACACGGTTCCTGAGTGGTTGGCATGAAACACCACTGCAGACTACCACCAGAGCTGGCACCAACCCCTCACCATCACACAACCCACTGGCCGCCACGTTGTGTTGCTGTTGCAGTTGACACGCTGCGTCGTGAAGACGGGCGATGTCGCCGACGTCGCGTTGTCGCTGCCTCCGGGAAGCCTGGTGGTGGTGGACCGATGGCATGGCTTGGGTGTGTTAGGCCGGGCCGACCAGAAGCGCCGGTGTTCCGGGGTGCTTCCATGCCAATCTTTTACGTTTTTGTTCCGACAGATTACAGGAGTGAAGTGAGTCATTAAGTGACTCAGCAGGTATCTCAGACAACCACAACCCAAACACTTCTCGGTCTCGAAGCTTTGAGGGACTTACTGATTGTAATTGAATTTTTGGAGGGTCTGAAGAGTCTTCAAGAGGATGATTTCGCAAGAATTTTGGCTTTGGCAGTGCTTGCGGTGCTTCATTAATTCAATTCAAATCAGGCTTGGCACAACCTCTTCGCTCCCAAGATTAATGAGGATCCTTCTTGTGGTTTACTGCCATTGACTTTGAGGCCACTCTGATTCGGGGTGACCTCACGACTGCCATTGCCCTAGAAGCCCAAAGACTATAAATTTGGCACTCCCGAAGTAGAGGAAATCCCCAGACTCGGGTCATCTAAAGACCATTTTTCACAGGGACTGCCGCTCTTGTCAGCCCAGCAGGTTGGTGTCCTTTGTTGGCCTTGCGGCAAGTCTTGGGTGGAGCCGCTGCCCCTTCAGGTGTGTGGACACCAACGGGTGGAAATCTGGGAACAGAGGCGTTCGGCTGGGTGAGAGCAAGCTTTGGACCGCTCGTTGTTCATATTGAGTGACCTCCAACAAATCTAGCGTCAAGTTTTTGTATAAAATGGTCACAGGAAGTGAGAATTTCTCATATCATATGCTGAAGTTTCAGTTCTTGGAAGAGACCGTTTTGGTTCACAAGCTTTCTCAAGACTCGAATGGGTCCAATTCCTCTCGGTGTTTCAATTTTGGGGGGATCTACTTGAGATTTGAGCCAAGGTTGGGGGCGGTATAATATGATAAAATACTAGGAGCAAGGACGCTACTAGGAGCAAAGGGCATCGCTACTAGGAACAAGCTGGCCTTGCTACTAGGGGCTCCCTGTCAGGTGACTCAAAGATTGTCTACTGTATCACTGTCTTTTCTCGGTGGTGCACAACGGCAGCGATCAATTTTGATAGACACCATCCTTCACCACTGAACACGCGAGTAGAAAAGAGCTTCCGTGATCCCTGACCCTGTACCCAGTGGGTTTGCATCTGTGTTTTAGAACACAGCACAAGGGTAGGTCAAAGACAAGGGTAGGTCAAAGCGAAAGTACCTCGGAACCGGTACGGTTATATAGTAGGTTGATCGTGAAGATTCCCCCAATTCGACTGACCAATGTTGACTCATGCCTCCCTGCCTGGACGGTAGAATATCTTCAGACCTGGTGGCAACAGGCTGAAAGAAAGGTCTACAGGTCAAGTTTCCCTAAAATCCCTACACATTTTATACCAAATGACTAAATAATTAGTGCGAGCGCTTCTTCAAGGAAACTCCCCCCGTCCCTCAGGCGGGGGAGCTTCCTTGAAGAAGCATGAGCTATCCTGCGCCCACATGTAGTATAGCGTCCATGTAACTAGGATCGTACAAGTTTGTTCCTTACTTAATTCAGTGGGCCCCTACTTATATAATTAAGAGTAATTATATAAGTATTAGGAGGGCAGAGGCAGAGGGCCGGCCGAGCAGGCCAAAAAAACTGATAGAACTCACTCACCCGATTGCACACAGTTCGACGAGTATATGGCTGCAGAAAAATAAGTCCAAACGCAACAGACATTCCTCTAGGGCACTCTTGAGGGGCAATCTTGTGACTAAACTCTGTGGGCAATCTCTCTTCACCCCTTTGAGGTGAAACAGCCATCACGAGACTTCTCAGCTGGGTGCCTTCCGCTCAAGGTGTGGTGCCTTCCAAGCTGAGCATTTCACTGGCTTTGGCCGACGCCGGGCTCCACAACACGCAGGGCTTGGACCTCTCGGGCATGGACGCGCGCTTCCGGCCGCTCTCGGTGGCACCCTTGAAGGCGGGGAGTCGAACGAATCGTCGGTGGGGTTTGTTGGGTGACGTTGTGGTGGGGGCCCGTCTGGGGACGTGGATCGATCAGGATGGTGACCTATTTGAACACATTTGGTGGTGGATTTTTAGGCGTTCTCCTGTTTTTTGGGCATACATCCGTTCTTGAAGGGCTTGGTGCGTTCACAAGGCTTTGGGTTTGGGTTCCCAGCAGTGTCTTCAGCGCCTTTCAGGTTGGTGTGGGCGAGCATCCACATCCGACATCACTGCGGCCGAAGCTTCTCACGGACTTTGTTCAAGCCTTTGACTATGATGCTCGTCCCCAAAATAAGAGGGTCAACAGCAAGGACTTTCGATCCTTTCAGTAAACTTCAGTACTTTTGACTTGTACCTTCCACTCATCCTGCATCATCCTGCTTGCTGAAGTGGTGTCCCTTTTGACTCAAGCAAGCTGCCACCATGCAGCTCTTGCATGATAAGTTAAGTTTGTGTGTTGCAGCCTTTGCGTCTATTCTCTCTTTACCTCGACACGTTTGTGCCGAGATGCTGGATGCCACAAGACTGCACGAAAGGACGAACATCCTTTTTTACTTGGCCTTGAACAGAAAGAAAGGCTTGCGCTTTCCAGTCCGACCATGAAACGTGGACATGTGGTTGTTTATGCCTAGGGACTGAAAACCGGACCCACTTTTCTGACATTTTTGGACTCCACGACGCTTGGTCATGTCATCGCATGGTGTTGGGGGGGCGGGGGGGTGGGGTGAGGGTCAAATTCCCCGCAGTGGAGCGTGTAATGCATAGTATCCCTGGATTCAACTCACAGTCCAACAAGGTTCACAAGAGCGAGTGGGCGAAGGCGATCGAGCGGCTGTTTTCACACGCACATACCTTGAGCCAAATGTTCTGGCATGTCAATGCATTGCGTAAGAGCATATCGCAAGATACTGTAACCAAGTTGAAGCAATAGCGTAAATGGGTGCCCAAAAACAGAAAACATGGGGGGTGCTGTAATTTCGTTCTTGTTTTCACATACGTCTCATGAGCATGAAGGCTCAAGACGTAGCCACGGTGTGTGCTTTAGTTTTGTTGTTTCGGTTGTCGGGTGTTCCTTGTCCTCCTCGTTTTTGTGTTTTCTTCCTTTGTGGTGCGTCAGCCCTTTTTCTTTAGAACAGTACGTAGAGGGCTTAACTCGTGATTGTTCTGACCCTTGAGTTGCTTTTGTTCACGAAACAGGTTTGGGTTCAGATAGTGGCTGGGTAAACTGGGAGCAGGTGTTAGAAACTCGTTTTTCGTTGTTCACACTTTGGTGCAATGTGTGGTTGAGGTTTTCTTTTTCGAAAAACATAAACTAAGTCCTTTTCTGTTGGTGACTGTTGGTGACTGTTGGTGTTGAGTTGGCGTTTGTTGCGTAGTTGTAGCGGCTCCATGTCGGATGGGTGCGCCGCCGCTGATTTGCTCGACAATGGCATCGATGAAAAAGACTTGCACACGGAGCCTGACTGGGGACAGCTAGATACACAAAAAGCAGGCAACTTGAGGTGTCGCGAAAAAGACATTTTTTATTTAGGCAAAACGCATGACAAAGCACTGCGCTTACCAATGAATTTGACATGAGAACAGGCAAAAAAGGGTACGGTTTCCAATCCGTACGGTTGTTTATGAAATCAGGGATTGTTGGAATCCTAGGTCCTAGGTGCTACCACAAAGATCAGAACCTGCAACTCCTTTAAAAAAGAACTGCGACGTTCCTGTGCCTTTTCCGGTGTGAAGCTTCTGGACATTTTTCCCTCTCCTTTTCTTGATTGTTCAATTCAAGCAATCTGAAGCTGAAGAATCCACTCACTCAAGAACCTCCCACATCTTGCAATGAAACCTCGAAAAATCTTCTCACATCTAAACCAGAACATCCCGTCCATCCTCCAAACCGGTGTCTCATCGGCCAAGGATTTGGCTCGCCCAGCACCGCCGAGCGATGGTCCCAAGCCCCTGGCTTTCTCGGCGAAGCCGTCGAAGGTCGCCGCCACCGCGGCACTCTTCGAGTGTCGCTTCGAGCTGCCCAGGCGTGGGCAGTGGGGAGGTGTGGGGCCGGTTTCGGTGGTGAGGTGTGCAGCAGAATGCTTGGATGAAGTGGCTTGGATGAGAGTTTGTATGCTTGGAGGTTTAGAGAGGGGATGTTCCGATCTTTTGCATTGATTTAGGCAGCAGTATGGATGGTTCCTGCATGATAGTCCCTTTGAAGCATGGTGGCAGGTCCAAAGGCAATGGGTCGTTGCGCTTCGCACAATGGCTGCCTGGTGCTTTGCAACTCAAAGGTGCAGACATGGGGCTGTGTGCGTGGCGTAATGACAGCCGAGTGTGGCTCGAGTGGGATGCTGCTGCTCGTCACAGTTTGGCACGTTTATTTTACCAGCTGATGGGTGGACTGCTCAAATTTTGGGGTCATGTCCAGACTCCCTTTCCAATAATTCATAATAATTGCATTTTCATGTTCAGAACGAGCTGCCCTGACTCCAAATGGGACCCTGAACAAGATTAGATCATGGAAGATTTGGATCAATCCGAATCCATCCGCCTTTTTGACTCCGTGACTCCGGCGTTGGATCCGCGACTCCACGTGCGTTTGAGACTTGAGGCCAAAAGCCTTCACCCACCCTTTGGATTTATGGCGCTCAGTGACTGGTACTTTGAGATGCTGCGGGATTCTGCCAGGCAGAAAGATGGAGGGTCCGACAGTCTACCAAGAGCGGCCAAGTGTTTTTGTCTTGGATGGTCTGTTCCGTTTTGGAAGGTATATACTGTATATACACAGTATGGGGTAATAGGATGTAATAGGGTCAATGTTTGCAGTGAAAGTTCTTGTTGTGACCAGTGGACCATCATACTGGTCATGATCATCAATCTAAATCATTGGATCCGAGGAGGTGGAGGACAAACTGTGTTTCCCGTCCCCGCTATATAATCGCCACGAACGAAAGTGTCCAACGACTTTTTGAGTCCGGACCGCGATGACCCTCAACTTGCTTCATGTGGATGGTATTGTCAAGCAGAATACATTGAATACATTTGTCGCAGAAATGTTCTAAACTCTTCAACTCTGGAGGCACGAGCTCTACGAGCGGGCGCTGCAAGTGGAAATCACCAAGAAGAAGGAACCTCAGTCCAAGCCTTCGGGAGGTTGGCCGTGAGGGTTCCACAGGGTTCCACACGCTGCCACCACCGTGTACCACCCTGTGACGCTCTCCAATCCCAGCCCCAGGTACGAATGGACGCACGAAACCAGAGGATGGTCGAAGTGCTCCGAATCCGGGCCCTTCTCCAAAAGGAAGGGTTTGCTTCGGGTCTGGAACCGTGTGTTTCGTTGAGGTTCCGACCGCATTTCAGTGTCAGTCAGTCCAAGGATTCTTAGAAGTAGGGGCCGGACTGTTATATGGACCCAGGGACCAAGGCCTGTTTGCAGTGTCGGGGCTCTTTTTTGCTCCAAGGTTCTTATATAGATATTTTTGAGAACATTTTTGGAAAAACACATTCTTAATCATTCTTAGATACTCTTAGGCTGGGGTCCCAGTACCTCCGATTCCGTCCTTGGCGCAAACGGGGGCTTTCTCGGCGCAACGGGGCAGTGCTCGGACATTCAGTGATGATTAGATCGAGTCCTGTGACCTCGCGGGGTCACCGGTCTGAAGAGTTCTAGCAGGAAAGCATGACATCGCCATCGCCGGGCTGATTTCAATAGATCTTTTCTTTTTAAGATTTTGTTAAGCCCATGATGCTATGAAATTCATGGAATTCTATGAATCAAGCAGTTTGCAAATCCGGGTATGGCAATCTCGGAAAGTGAAATAGCTTATAAGGACAGTCACAGTCCAATCTGATCAATATTCGTTGCCAAATGTGCGATTAAGGAAACAAGTTCAGAGTGCAAAGTTCTTGACGTTGGCAGTGGTGATGGCACTTTGTTTGCAAGCAGCGTCTTAGTACTTCTCAGTACTTGCGTCATTGCCCTTTTGCCAATTTTCAGATCAACCAGTTCCTAGTCCTAGTAAGAAACGTTTCCACCCCAAAATCCAACGTTCCTAAAAGTCGTTTTGGCCCCCTATGGCCGGGTCTGCTCGCCAAAACTGGTCTTCGTCAGGTATTTTGTCGCTGATGGCCTTGCGTGCTGGCGCCACCTCTGGTCTGGGTGGCTTGGAAGTAGTACTCAGAGGGATGGTTGACTGGATCTATATACTGGTGCCACCCAGTTTGGTTGGAGCGGTTCTTTTTCTTTTTTAAAGCTACTTACCTACCGATACCTACCGTACCTTTTTTCAAGAGGAACCGACTGGTGCGTTTGAAGTGCATGGAATGAGGGTTGGTAGCTTGATCAAAGGGGGGGGACACTTTGCTCATTCCTGTTTGTGAAGGTCTCGCGGCTTCGGACGGAAGAAAGGATTGATCCAAGGATAGAGTGAAGAGGAACGTGGACATCTACCCAATTTACCTGAACCAAAGGCCGAAGGAGACCTCATGCAAAACACAATTCTTTAAGCATGGCAGTGCGTCCACGTCGAACCCAGATCTGCACGGATCTGCAACTATCCTGTTCATTCTGCGGTGTCAATTGGGGTGTATGGAGTGAGCTTATTCCTGCACTGCCAAACTGAATCGAAATCCATATACATGGAGAATTGCCAGGCTGAGTGATAGATTGGTTTCAGATGGTTTCAGGATGTTTTAGTCTGGTTGGGAGCTGGGATTGGTAGGTTTCATTGATCTTAGATGACAGACTTGGCCAATTGGTGTTTGGCTGTTTCCATGGTTTCCACGTGACGAGGCGTGGAGTACGTGGCACAGATCGCCCGAGCCAGTGAGGAGGTGGTTGCCGAGAACCGCCGGGCCGAGGCAGATGAAGATGATGAGCCTCCAGTCATGGAAGTGAGCAGTGGTCCTGGCACATCGTGACATATCGTGACAACCCCAAGTTTGGCTAGTTTAGTAGGATCAACTAAAGTTCAGCCCAAGTTTTCACAGCTTGTCAGTGTCTGCCATCAGCCATCCCTGCAAGCCATGGATGTGGATCAAAAGCTCACCCGCCTACAACATCCTACAACCCATGGGTTCGCTTCACCTCGAATTTCTGAGAGACCATGGGTCCACCAGGGTGACGGGCGCTACACTTCCTCAGGCGGTGCCTGAGACCCCCTTGGAGATCCGCTGTACGGACGTGAGGCCCGTTCCGGGATCCCCGGAACGCCGGGCCGTTCCGGGTTGCCATGTGCTCAACAGCAATAAGAGAATGGGACGTGATTTGTTTTCTTCTGTCATGTTCTTTCCGTTTTTATTTGCAAGCTAGGTTTGGAATCCATATGAGAGATTGGGATGGAGATTTTGATTGTTGATGGTGATACAGGTTTAGCATGGTTTAGCTCATTGGGAACAAGCCCTCGCTCTTCCAGCAAGAAGCAGGTCTGCGCCTTTGTTTTACTGTGGGAATCGAGGATACACATACGAAACATCGTCACTCCCCTACAGTGGATGGATATCGTGGATACTGTTCAATTCGGTGCGAGAGGCCCCCACAGTCTAGGAGCTGGGTCCTGGTACCTTCTTTTCGGATGGTCGAATGGAGGTGAATACGTACTTCCAGAAAATGGTCTTTGGCACCACAGGACATCTTCAGGATGGTCCTGGACCCTTAGGGGCAGGTACAACCTGGTATATATATAAATAATGGAACTCATCGGTCATGTTGGCGATGCACTGCACTCCCACTGGTTGGTCATGTTAATGTTGGCTAATTGTTCAGCTTCCACAGGAATGACATCAAGAAGCCTTTGGATTGGACCACCACGGAACGATGTTTGCGAGCACATGTGAGCACATCGTGCGGCACGCCCTCCCCTCCACAATCGTAGGTGGAACAATCGTAGGGGCCGGGGGGGATAGGAAGGTGCAGGGGGTACACTTCTTGAAGTAATTAGTCATGGAAATGCATGGCATGGCGCCTGGGAAAGATCATTCTCCTTTGCAAACACGTGGTTGTCCACAACTTCCATAGATGATTTCAACGAGCGTATGTCTTCCAAACGTGTCCGATTCCGGGAGCATAGTGATCACCGAGTCACCGAGAGCCTGCTCAGGGGCATTGAAGAGCGTCCAGAAAAGGAGCGTTTTGAGGTCTTGGTCACAGAATTGATGGATGCCTCTGGGCTTGGGGAGACCCTTGGCTGTGAGAGCCTGGCAGATTTCTTTGATATTTTTCTCAAAAGGAAGCAGATGCGGAGCATTGCGATCTGTGGAAAGTTGCAATTTGAGGACCAACTTGTTCTGTACGCCAGGCTTTACAGAGTTTTGATCCCTTCAATGAGCACTTTTGCCTGTTGCATGAAGAAATTCATCAGGAGGTCTCGCCAGCCTGAGCTCGGCTTCCAAGCCGAATAGGTCCCCATGCTGTACCTTTGCTTGAAGTAGGGTCACACCACCCGAACCAGCTTAGGGGCTGCTTTCTTGGTGAAGGCGACGGCCACTTTTTGGGTTGACCCGAAGAACTTGATTGCATCCAAGATCTGCCTCTTATCACCAGCCCAACATTCTTAGAAGACCCACGCCCTGATCTTTGTGACTCTGATTGCCATAGTTCTTGATCTCGTGGGAAGTCGCGGTGGATTGCAGACAGAGCACACCAGGCAGCACGGAGCGTCCGAGGAACCTCATCGCCCTGACTGAGGGTTCCAAGCGACGGCTCTGTAAGAGTGACTGCGCCGTGATCCCCAATGCGCTGCGCCTCAAAGCCGTGCTTTGCGAGGCGGGCGCCTTATTTTTTGGCGGTCGGCATGATGATGACTTGGAATCCTGGAAATGTAGGACTTGGAAGAATTGGCTTGACATGTCCAAAGTTTAAGATGTTTAGGCATCAGGGTTGATTTTGATCGGCTTGCTTCTCAGAGCTGGTTTGAGAAAATGGAGGATGTATGGTGGCCATGATCGTATCATCCCTTCTGTCGCGATGACGGTCCCAGGTTGGAGGCCATCGCTATTAGGTTCGCAGAGCGTAGGACTACTAGCTTAATCTTCAATCTTGGACTAATTTCCAGTGGCCACTTGGGCCCCTGATCGAACAATCTCCATCATTTGAGGATGTCTGCCAGGGCTCCCTGTTTGGGGATGCTTGGGTTGTCTATGAATAGCTCCGAAAAGACGTTAAGGGGTGTCCACCCAATCGTGGGCTCTGGTTCATCTTTGGACGACTACGCCGGTGGGTTCTGGGCTCTATATATATATATATATCTATATAGATGGTTGTATCTTTCTACTATATACTTCAAACTGACTCTGCAAAGAGGAATGTCTTGAAATATATAGTTCTCCTTGGTAGAACTTCAACGTTCATGTTTTCTCTCGCAGTCCCGGACCCCAGTGGTGGTTACTGCATTGAATAGAGCTGGATAGTGGCAGGCCCAGGGTTAACTCAGACACCGCACTTTGCCACGGAGTTACGTTCTGTTTGGGCTTTGCTTTTGGTCTCGCCACCCAGTTGCCTCTATCACACCTGTTTGGTGCAGGTTGGTAGGGTGTAGTCGCCGAGCCATGTGCTGTAGAGTCTGTCATAGTACTATGTTACTATACAATCGTCGTAGCCAGTAGAGACAAGACCATGACCATGACCATTTCTTTGTTGCCTCGTCTTATCTCGTCTTCCTCTTCCGATGCCCCCGGATGCCTGTCGGGATGCCTCCAGATGCCGTGACTCTTCTTTGGGAGGTGAAACTCCCGGATCTCAACGGCGTGAACATCGATGCTTTTTGGCCTTTTTGGCCCTTGGACCGTGCCGGAGAGGCGTTGTGGCTGGGCGTGGATCTGGACAAGATGGAAGGAGTGGCAGAGCACGCAGCGCTGGGAGAGCTCGGGACGATCTGATGTTGAATCGAAGGGAACATCGATAGGAACCCCATGGGTTGGGCGGTGAAAACCATGGTTTTCTGATGTTTTTTGTAGATGTTCGCTCAAAACCAATCGCTTGAGAAAAGGGGATCCAGTTTGGATTGATTCATGGGCTTTGTGCGCGCCAGGAAGATGGAAGAATCATGAACTTCTTAAGTCCCGATGGCCAGCCTTGAAATCAATGTCCTTCCATGGTTGAAGTTAGCTATGACAAGGTCGTTGGCAATCATCACGGTATGTGGGAAGTACAGTAATCAAGGACTTTTGAAATCCAAGCCTGTAGGTGGCACTTCCCTCAGCCATAACCGTGAGACGACCTGAATGCTTTCCGCGCTTCAGGAGAATTCAAGGTACTGACCGATGCTGTGGAGCTCTTCTCTTTGAGCTTGGGAGAGGCTTTTGTGGGGTGGAGAGGCTTGCTTTCAGAACTGATAGAACCTGATAAGACCATAAAGACCTCTAATCCAAAGCAGATCTTGCAATCTTCGAAACTGAATAGAACAGAGTGGACTAGCCGCCGGGATATGAAGCGATCGAACGGGTCATGCTTGGTTGGAGGCAGACGTGGATGCCATCCCCACACGCGCCAGCTACAACTTCACTGGCATTGCTGATGGCACTGCGAATATGGTAGTTTGGTCAGAGTCCAAGTTCGTCAGTGCAAGAAGTGACCCATCAACTTTCGATGTGGAAAGGCATTTGACATCATTTGAGAGCATTCCGCCAAATCACGGTACCCGTCTTCTCCTAGTAGCGTCCTTGCTCCTAGTAGTAAGGCCAGGAGCCCCTAGTA